CGCGAGGACGGGGCAGGAAATTCAATTGCCTAATTGCTGTTAATTATTTAATCGCTCCTGAATACCCCGCTAACGCCTAAGTGCTCGCAAACCTTGCAGCGCGTCGTTTAAGCGACCCAACGCGAACCCGAAAGTTTGAATCCCACCCCTATGTCTCGGTCCGCACAATCTCGGGTGTAACGTTTCCACCGCCGTCTCCACCGCAAATTTCCTGTCGACTCACTCTCTCTCTCTCTCTCTCTCTTCCTCTATTCGCTTGTTAAAACGTACGTTGCCAAACACTTTTTCCCAACAAACTTTCGAACATTTTTTCTAAAACGATGAATCACACGGAAGAGAAGAGGAGGGAAAAGATTGTCGTTGAACTCTCTCGATACTTTTTTCCTACACGAACGAAACGATCTTTTGTTCTGGAAGGAAGACGACGACGATAGATCGAATAATCGATTCCATCAAATCGAAACAGGAGGGATGGATAGCCTATGTGAAAAAGGGAAAGCGAGAGGAAATCCAGAGAGCAGACGCGTCGCATCGCGTCGCGTCGCGTACTGTTGCGCGGGGGAATAGGAAGCGGGCAGAAACGATTCGCGATTCCATTACCATCGGGACCGATCGACGATCGAACACGATACATCGGCCGGCCATTAATACCGAAAAATGGGTAATTTCGCATCTGGAATTGAGGGCGGCGAGGGAGGAGGAGTGGCGGAGGATTTCCTAGATTGAAATAAAGTGGCCGTGGCACCACTGCGCCGCGGCGGATCATTTAGCGGTTTTGTCGAGCGACGGCCAATTGCCGGCATTGTCGCTTGGCTGTACCACAATGGGCCAATCGGAATGCTCTCTGTCTCTTTTCAACTGCACGCCACCCTTCGACACGACTCCATCCACGACCCTTCTCTATACTCTACACACACATATACACATCTTCACTCTCTTCATCCCTCTTTCGCGATCTACCCCTTCGTCCTTCTCGCTCAGACTTTCTGTTTCACTCGCGAACAGTTGGTACCGCTGTTCGTGTTTCTCCGTCTCGCTTATATACTGTACGAGGGTGTCAGGATGGTTACGCTAATCGAGTAACCGATTTCCATCCATGGAAAAGTCATAATTTATGGGAACGACGCCAATACCCTGCCGGTCCGACCCCCTGCTGGTCGACATCATCCCAAGTTGTCTGTGTCGTCGTCGTCGTGTGCCGATTCCGCGTCACGTAGCTGGCGAGCTCGTTTCGTGCACGATTAAGTGATAATGCGACTGAACACCGAGGTTTGATATTTATCGCTGTGGTGATCGAATTAACGCCGCGAAAGGGTTGGAAATTTTCGAAGAAAAACGTGTCTTCTTCTTTTCACATACCTGATACTTGTTTCATACGAAAGAACGGAAATATTAGCTCGTCGGTGTATTAATTTGTAAATTGAAAGCTCTCGCTAATTGAAACGTTTATTCTGTGAAAATTACAATTGCAAAATTTCTCTCCTGTCTCTCTGTAGTTTCTTTCTTTCTTTTTTTTCTCTCTCTATAGACGTGAAAATACGCGCAGCTGGATGTGCTCTCTCACGACCGTTAAAAGGCGCGGCTGGAAAATAATTTCAAAGCAGATTACGACCCCGTACGCTCTTTACCGTTCGACTGGCTCGTATGAAATTAATCCCCGTAGCACGGGTATGGTCTGGCGCGTCTTTCGCGAAATTACAGACGTCGAACAGGAGCGGCAGATTTTCGGTACAATAGTGTGTAATTAGTTGAGAGGCCCACGCTGAGGTTGCGGCTCATTCAGTAGCGGCTTTCCGGCGTTCGGAATATCAAGCTTGAAAAGCTCACTACGCGCATGCACGGCTTCAAAGACAATTTCGAGCATCTTCGGCGAGCAGAATTTTATCGAGCCCCCTTCAACCAACCGGGATAAAGAAGAGGAAAAAAAAGAAAAACCTACGCTTACCTCTCGGGGTCACAAGCTACTTTGCTATTTTCATTTAACCCTAAACTCGTTCCCGCGATTAATTTTAATCTCTCCAACTACTCGCGACTTTGCGATTTTCTCAGATAACGTACGAGGAATGCTAGAACTGAAAGTATCAATTAACCTCTCAACTGCTAGCCAATACTTGGAACACGATAATTTACTTATCGAGGGATTGTTCATTTTTAATTGTTCTTATACCTATGTCGAACGTAAAATACGTCGTATTCACATTTGCAAGAACGCGAAAAAAGTAATTGGTTGTAATTCTTACTCAATTTTAATTGCAAGCTAGAGAGATTCAATTTCTGCTTCAAAGGGGAACACAGTTAATTTAATAGTCTAACGCAAAATATGAAAACGATATTCCAAACGGTATCTGAAGCGTTAGAAATTGCAGAAATGAAAATGTAGTCTTGAGCGGTGCAATTATCGAAATTGCAATTGTAAATACACTGAATTTTAGCGATGAAATGTTTGAAGTTCCACGTTACCCCTAACAATGAATAAAGAGGACGGTAATCTTCGATTATGCGATTAAACTCACCTGCACCCTAGCCTCGGATAGGTCCAGCCGCATCGCGAGCTCTTCCCTGGTGTACACATCTGGATACTGCGTGTTCCCAAATGCTTTCTCCAGCTCGTGCAGCTGATAGGTTGTAAAGGTTGTACGAGACCTTCTGACTTTGCGTGGCCGATCTGACTCTCCCAGATTCAACCGGTCAGATTCTCCCAGATTTAAGGGATCGTGCAGGGCGTCGTTTATCTGATGGTCGCTCAAGTGGCCGAGTTCTGTGTCTCCTGCATCGCCGATCGCGTCGGAGGATGTCGCGTGATCTGGAAACAGAGGTAAGACGAATGATTCGTTTGACGTTCCAATTAGTCCGTAAATCTGAACGTTTCCTAGTAATTCTCCCTTCAGCACTTGGCAAATCTTCTTCTCTACATTATCATCAGTTTTTTCCCAAATTCCAATATTTGTGATAGAGAAAATACGAAAAGTACGTAATCTCCTAAAAGAGAAATACACGAAGAATTAGATCACTTTTTCCTAACTTTAAAAAAATCGTCCCTGAAGGGGTTAACGTCACTGGTTGTCATTTCTAACTCGATCTAAACACCACTAGCAGCTCTATCTTCCTCGCAAGCAGAGTCGTCGATCTAAAATACCCACAGCTTGTTAAACGAGCATCACACTCTCGTTTTTCCCGCAGGAAACACGAAAAAGCGAAGATGTGAAAGGTGAATCGACAAGGTAAAAGAAGGGTGATGCAGGCGACACCGTTAACGTTCCCTTAAATCGTTAACGATAACCCGATACACCTCTCTCTCTCTCTCTCTCTGGAAAGCACCGCGGTATACGCAGAGAGAGGAGAGAGGACATGAAACGGCTGGTGTTAAAGGACCGCGGACGCGTATTGAAGTTCGGATAGATAGGCGCGTATCAAACGATCGGCGCTAGCCTTCGATACTTGAGCGGAAGAGAGGATCGGGGCGATTAAGCTAAATCGCCCGCGCTGCCAAAACGAAATTGACGTTTCGCTTGATATACACATGGACCGGCGAGGAAACACAGCGTGTAGAAACGGCACAGCAGCCGTCGAGTGAAACACCAGAGAGGAGGTGGAGGCGGAGGAGGTATAGAGGGGAGGTTGGAGATGCTGCGGGGTCGGTGTGGGTGCAATTTCATTTTTAAGCCGCGCAACGACCGGCGCCCGATATACGCCCGATACGCCGATCATGTCCGATCGGCGGATTTGCCAATTTTAAGCCTCACCCGGCGCTTCATTTTTTGTACATCCGCCTATATATGAAATATGACGCATCGATGCGAGCCTGTACACATTATACGTACACGTTCGATAGTACTTAAAAACCGTTGCCGTCAGTGATTAGCAAATATCACGAGTGCATGTCGTACAGTGTGTGCCCTCCTCCTCTCCCTTCGAATGTTCGACCACTCATTCGCCGCCCCCCTTTTTACCCCCTCTTACACGATGCAACCCTTGCACGTAGCCGGACATGCGACACACGCGCGTTCGTTTCTCTAACCCTTCTGTCTATCTTTGTCTAACTTTAACTTTCATTGCCCACCTTTCCTCTCCTCCCCCCCCCCTTTCTCTCTCTCTCTCCTTTTCTCCTTTCTTTGCGCTCTCGCTCTGTCTCCGTCTGCTTTTATCGTCCTTCCTATAGAACATAGACATCGGGCTTAAAGAGCTCATTAGAGTAAACTGCACACGCAAAATGTCGATTTTTTTTCTCGTCCCTGTAGCCTCGCGGCGGGACGAGGAGGTGATTCTTATGGGTGGCTTTTGCAGACACGTGCTGGTAATACGTTAGTTGGATCGCGGGAATAGCGGACTTATTGATAAGACGTCTCCGAGTATTACGCGATTGATAGTGCGTTACAAAGCGACTTTTTGTCGTGGTTGCAAACTTGGTCGTTGACAAAATCACAGTAGAGCAAATTCGAAATCGTTCCTTCTTCGAGATATTTTATTTCACGAACCGAAGAAAAAATTATTCTTCCTAGGAATTTTAACTTGGTTAGAATTTCTTGAACGAAGGCTTCATTATTTTACGCTGCAAACATACCCACTGACAAGATTGCAATAGGGAAAATTTAGAATCGACCCCTCTTCGAGATATTTTATTTCTCGAAACCAAAGAAGAAAAGAAATGATTCTTCCTAGGAACTCTAACTCTATCCGAATTTCTTGAACGAAGGCTTCCTTATTTCACTCAGAAAACTTAGTCTTGGAGATATTTTATCTCTCGAAGCCAAAAAAAAAATGATTCTTCCTAGGAACTCCAAGTTCGTTAGAATGATTTATTTAAAATTACTCTAATAGAAGCTTCGTTATTTCACTTTACAAACCTACCCACTGATGCGATCGTAATAAAGCAAATTTAGATTCGACCCCTCTACAAAATATTTCACTTCTCGGAGTCAAACGAAAAAAAGAACAATTCCTCCTCCATTGTACTCTCGTACGGTGCCTCTGTCTAATTAGACGTGGAGATTCGGCCAAGAAATTAGATATCAACACGATAACGACCACTAGCACTGGCTTACAAAGTTTCAATATCTGTCTCATTCCCGTTGCACTGCTCCCATTATCCCCTTACACACGTTTGCTTGAACTAATTAGACGCGCATTTACTACTCATGCGTAATAACGTTAATCCTACTTTTCGGTGCCGCTCTAACCGGCAGTTGTGATAGATTGCGAACGAAGCGAATCGTTCGAACCGGCACGCATGTCGGCTGCGTGCACAGCCAGAGAAACGAACACGTACATGCACGTCTGTGTGTGCACGTAATCGCACTAACATTTACGCAAACAACGTACGGATAATCCAGGGTGAATAGAGAGATTTTTATGTTTTCATGCTAGGGCACAATGGGGCACCCACTTGATGCCTAACTCTCCGCTGCTTTTTATTAAATCTACGAGCCGCCGATAGGGGTTGGCCCTTGGCTCCATAGGGTGGCCCGTAAAGGCAGTTCGCGGCGCGAAATTAAAGATTTATTTACCGTTGCCCGATGACCACATGCCCCGATCTTTCTTCCTATTCGTTCGTCGTCCCATAAGTTTATCGTTCGATTCGTCTATTTCAAAAGTCTATCCGAAGAAACAGAGTCTCGTACGATTCAGTTATATCGAAGAGTTGAGATTTTTTTTGGAAGGGAAGGCTTAGAAAATTAACACAGAGGTATCCTAAACGTTGGAATTTCGATGGAAAATAGGTATAACGAAGGTAGCAAGAGAGGATATTATTCGCGTAGATTAACTCCGGATAGCGGTGAAAATGAAATTCCACGATTATTTTCCACCTTTGGACGATCCATAAACCGCGGACGTGTCGATTTGTAAGCGATACCCAGCTATATGTATCAATGGATACTCGATGCAGGGGCTATTGTCAGACGCATTAATTATGTTAGACGACTGCACGATCGAAATCCGCAAACACATCCTGATTTCTGCACGCCACAATCGGGACGGGCCAATAATCGGTCCACCTGTATACAGTGATCATCGACGATATTCCTACTTGTGTACTTACATGTATCACGAAATGTACATACGTTCGAACGCGCGCGTTACCAATTCGACGCGAGGTGTACGAAAATTTCGCGATCCAATCGAACTGGTGATAATTAACACGCTCGTGTGCACGACGGACGGCGAAAAAAACGAAATTAATCGACGTTTAATCTACGATACTCTTCTGTTTCTTCTCTCTCTCTCTCTGGTTTTCTGCTCGTCTACTACTCGGGAACTGGGGAACAGGTAACGAGTTCAGGATAACTGAGTGTCCGCGTCTTCCTGGACAAGATATACTTCGCTAGAACGGATTACACAAGGTCCAGCTTTGCGCTGGAAATCTAATAAAATCCTTAAGAGGGTTTACGGGTAATACGTTCACCGCTAAACTGGTCCGGATAATCCTTTACGGAGCAAAAAATCACCCGTAGCCACGAGTATCTTCGCGGAAATTTAATAAGTGTAGCTTTACGCGGCTTGATTAATCCTCTATGGCGTATCAGACTGGGACGATCGAGTTAAAAATCGTCCTCTTCGCTGGATCCTCCCCTCTTTCCTCGTCCTCGTCTATGTACGTTATAACATGTACGAAAAAGAAAAGGAAAATTTTTTGCACCAGACAACTTTGCGACAAAACGGAGGTATATCCAACGTAATCGCTTTGTACTTTTGTAATTCAAGAAGAGAAAAACCTGCCCTCCCCTCCCCCGTTCTTTGTAACGTGCTAATCGTTAACGTCGCGTTTTAAAGCGCCTTTTGATGTCGTGTGCCCGGGGAGGCTAGAGGAAGGGTGTTTCGCGTATAGAATCGCCATAAATTTTATCGCGGAGAACGGGAACAGGCGACAGCACGTGGCGCGCGAACCAAGAATTAGCAACGTTACACGTAATCGTGGTTTCTTGAGAAATCCATTGTTGGAATATTTTAATGAAATAATTGCGTGTTCGTGCGTTTGCCTGCAATAGGGCACCCTCCGCGGAAAACGGTCTCGCAAACAAGCGTGTTGCACATGCACACACAGTCGTACACCGGGTGTTACATAGGTACTTATGGTCGTCGTCGTCGTCGTCGTCTCCTCTCTCTCTCTTTGTTCGCGTGCTATAAGTCACGTTGTAAATTTACATCGCGCTGATCGTCGGTGCAGATTCGAACCTCGACCTAATTAGCCTTTTAAAACGCCCGCGGCAATTAAGTAATGTACGCGTAACGAAGCGTTCGCGGGGAAAGAATGAGAAAAAAAGAAGGTGGAATTTTGTTTCAACGAGATGATTATTCGAACATATATATGTATAGAGAGAGAGAGAGAGAGAGAGAGAGAGAGAGAGAGAGAAACGAATAGGAATTAGCAGGCTATTAAGGAAAAGATCGATCGGTCGATCGGTAGTAACGATTTTAAAAATCGGTAAAACGCCATTTGCTAAATTGCCATACAATTACGATGACTATCTGATGCGGTGATGGTCGATGGGTTAAGATAGATAACCCACTTTGTTTCAGTTAGAAGGAAACCTTTATTTTTTTATCGCAATCGCGGTTCGATCGATGCGACAGCAATAAAATGTTGGTAAATGAGACCTCAGTTTACTTAACGATATTAGATACTAGATAATAATGCAATATTACTGGACGGTGTGTCTCGCGGTGTAGTAAATAGAAACCAGCAAGGCCTTCCGTTTTATTCGAAATATTACGATTATTTTGACAAAATGTGAGAATTTTATAAAAAGAAAGTACGAACGTTACCTCTACCTAATTCAATTCACGCTCGTAGTAAAGAGGATTTAGAGAAAGCAAAAATAAGAGCAATCGTACCTTCGTCCTTGCCGTGTCCCAATATCTGATCGATGCTGTACACGTTCCTCTTCTGATTGTAAGTTTGCGCCATGCTTCTTCGCGGCAGCGTCGCCGGAAATCACTGTTCCAATCGTGTTCTACGGACGTGGTTAACCGGAAGCAGCGTTCGATTCACGACAATTTCACTGGCGAAAGCTTCTCCTCTCTCTCTCTCTCTCTCGACAAAGATCCCGATCGAGAAAAATCGTATTTCCCGCTGTTGCCCGCGGACAGATGGAGCCTCGTAGGAGTACGTTCTTTTGGCGCGAGTAAAGGGAGATCCCGAGAAAGATCGAACTCGAACGACGATCGCGAAAAGTATATCGTCGTGTACGAACGTGAAAACGATAATTTTCAATACCGACAACGGAGTAGTAGAAGAGCGACAGGGAGAGACGGGTGAGGAACAGACGAAGAGAAACGACGGAGCGGCGGTATTCCACGCGACTCCTCTAGCTTCGAAAAGAAAATGCGTCAATCGACGGCGCACCACGAACTGGCTCGTCGGACATGAAAGCAGCCCTTAATATCGCATACAGCCGCCCCACCTCGCAACCCCTAACACCGCCATATTAGCCTCCCCGCCAATGAGGACGCACGCTTCTCACCCAAAGCCACCCCGTACTCGGGGGTTGAATGAGGCCTGGGCGGGGAATATTTTGCCCTTTCCGCGTAAATCCCCGGATTTTTTTCCACCTCCTCTCCTAACCCCCTCCATATTCGAGTCTTCCTCCTTCTATTCGATCCTCTCTCAACCCTCTGTGTCCATCTCCGTTCATCCCGCCTGCCCTCCCGTACGTCCGTCCCTTTTCACTGTCTTTTCCCTCCTCTTCTCTCCTCTTTCTCGCTCGCGCCGCTTCAGTTTCGATCCGGCAGCGGGATATTTTCTTCTTCTCTCTTGAGAATGTGAGATTATTTACCGCGTCTTCGGGTGTACACGAATTTTTCGGGATCGCGATTAATCTTTCCCCTCCTCCGCCCGCTCTCTCCACGCTACACATACCGTGTGCTTGTCTGACCGGGAGTAGAGTGTTTCTGAGTTTTACTTTTTCCTACGCTTCTTCGTTTTTCTTCTTTTTTTTCGGAGAGAAACCCGGGGACAGGGGAAGAATTCAGAAGAAGTTTATTTTAAACGTGGTTTTTCAGCAGTGAGGAAAATTTTTTGTTTTCGAATGTTTGGGGTTATGTTTTGGGTAGTTGGAGGAAGATTAGGTGTTCGCGATTTTGTTACGGTGATACTTTCACCTTTTCTCAAGCGATTTTTCATTAAGACTAGAACGTCCGGTCGAAATTACCCATTAACGATTTTCTGAAGCGAATTTTTGCGTAACTAGAGGGTAATTGGGAAATTAGATTCGTATCGATGCGAATGGAAGTGTACCGAAAATGAGGTCGGGAAGTTGCAAATGAAAATTGGTAATTAGTCGTTTTGAACCTGTCAGTCGTTCTGGTGTCAAATATCGTGAAATAGAGATAAATGTAATTATTCTTTGCCATAGTTTACGTATTAATCGTACTTCGTCTACGCTGATATAGGTATCTCATTTTAAAATTTCAAAGAAATTGTGTTACGCGTAATTCGCTGTTTAGAAATATGAATCATTCGGTTGCTCTTGCAACAGTACAACCTGTTTGTCTCGATGATTCCTCCTTCGGTGGCCTAACGGAAGCCTCAGGTAACCGGGGAAATACTGGAACCCCGTGGATTTCGATGTAATTACGAGAAACGAGGTCGCCTCGTTGATCAGCCCTGTTCGAAAATTTGCTTACGATTATCCTACTTATTCTAAGACAACGCCTTTCTTGCTCACGACCGACCTGGAATCAGTAGTCTAATCCTTAAAGACGTGGTTCAGGGTCTGAACGAAGACCGGGGCACGTTTTCGAAATCCCAAATGCGCCCCGTGCCACTCTTCGAGATTTCATCCTTTTTGCGGGATCTCCTTTCGTAATCTGTCCTGCTGTTAATCCTGAGGAATTCCTGTGAGAAACTTTCAGCCATTCTTTCGAAGATCGTTGCGCTCTAATTCACTTCGGTTGTTGCGACGAAACAACCTGTTGTTTTGCCGTTAATTGTGGGCTCGGACCTTACTTTCGACCAAACTAATTGTTGCTACTTTAGTGCGTAATTTATTTTACTCGTTTCTAACGTGATTTTTAGCTGATTCGCACAATCAAGGTGGTGGTCCTGAATTATTCGTAGAGTAAGGAAAAAAACGACGACACAAGTATTCTCTTAATTTAATTCTTCACCGCGATTTTTCACGAATTCACGTAATCACAGTGATGGCCGTAAATTATTCGTAGAGTAAGGAAAAAAAGAACGACACAAGTATTCTCTTAACTTAATTCTTCGCCGCGATTTTGCACAAATTCACATTATCAAAATGGTAGTCCCAACTTATCCACAGAGTAAAGAAAAAGAAATCACCCTCACACGTTTCCCTTAATTTGATGTTTGCCCCCGGTCACGTGCGCGTGTAATTTTACAAAATACTGCCGCAGCATCGTGGCGGCCAGTTAAACAAATTTAACGTGCTGCTACGTTTAAACAAAGTCGCGCAATTAAACGGTTAAATTTCATATAATCGGGAAAAATTCGATCGTTACAGGGGCAGCGGCGCGGCGGTGTTGGTGCCGACTGGGGTTCGATTCGAATATTAAATTTCCGGGATTTATTTAACCAAACGGAGTATCTTCCGTCAATCACGTAAAGGTGTGGGTGTACAGTGTGTCACCCTGTGCCCACCCCTTTTGTATAGTGGGCTTTATAATGCAAATAAACCGTGGGCCATGGAGGGCGGCGCGTGTGCGCGGGGGAGGAGGTGGTCGCTGCTCCAACGTTCGTCACGTTACAAACCAGATTTTTGGGAATATCGCGGCGCCGTATCGCGCACGCGAAAAAAAAAAACAGAAAAAAAAGAAGGGAAAAATATCCCTTACGCGGGTGATTTCGGAAACAAAACGCTTTGTCGGCGAGAAACTACGTCACGGTTTTACATACATAGGAAAACAGATTATTCCGCCGCGGGAGAGGGAGAAATGGACAATCCGTGGGCGCTATTAAAAAACCTGGAAAATTGATCTTATGCATGTGTAATATACGCGACGTTCATATAAACTCCATCGAACATTGATAATTTTAAACATTGCCAACGTGTGAACGTGTTCACCGACTGTAATATATTACAATACGAGGTGTATTTTAATCATCGTACTTGTTCAATAAATAACACGAGGTATCCGAGGGAACGTCGAACGTTTTTACAAGAATAGAGCTGGTTCGAGGGAAAGCAATCACTGACCGAGTCGATCGAAACGTCAGACGTGAAAGTGTCGTGGCTGTATCCCGAGAAACGATGCTGAAAGGAATCAGGATGATCCTTAGAATAGATACCGAACGAACGGTTAATACCTTGCAGATGTTAACTATCTCTCTCGCTCTCGTTTCGGTTGGTATTAACTATTTCCGGAATAACGTTATGGAACGCACTCGTAGAGATAATTGGGAATCCCGATGGGGTGGACGTGCACTGTTCCTTGACATTAACGAAGATTATCCGTGGCGATTTTCAGCCATTAGACAAAATCATTTGACC